AAATAAACAAGGATGTCCCGATAGTAATAACAATTATTGAAAAAAAAAAAAAAAAAACAGACTAATAGATCTACTAATGGATAAGGTGAACCGAGGTGATGTTGTTCTAAATTTAAAGAAATAGCAACAAAAACTTTCAGGGTCAAAGATTCCGTTATAGCATCAGAGCTTTCTTTACTTGAAAAAATAAATAAATAAATAAGAGTAAACCACAAGACACTCCACAGAACCTTTTTCATAAAGTAAAAAGTGAAGCTGTAATTTCAACGAGCTGTTTCCGTGGTTACCTAAAACCCATGACTGCTAAAATGTGACATTTTTCTTCTCACTGTTTGCTTCCATGCCATGTGCCTTTCACCTGATGAGTGAATTCCTCAGTCGCATTTTACACGTGTCTATCATGTAGGAAATATATTCTCCGTTTTTCTCCATCATGACAGCTTCCTTTGATTTACCTTTTATTTTTATGAGTAACTTATCTGTTGCTTGCATAATATGGATCTAATTGGATTGAGCAACATTATTTGTACTTTAATGTTATTAAGCACTCCAACCTCCAACATAAATGACTGTTTAAATTTATGGTAAACATACTTTCACTTTAAAATTTCTTTGAACAAAAATAAATAATACAAATAAAACAGGAATTCTGAATATAAACAGATAAAATTAACATTAAAACTACCTTTTTTTGGGCCTCCCCTGGTGGCCCAGGCGGTTGAACACCACGCTGTGAAGTTCTCCGCAGCCTCTGCAGCAATGGCTCCACTGCAGATGGCTGGCGAAGGTCCCACATAGCACAGCAGACCTCTCCTGTCTCCCTGCTGCTCCCCTCAGCAGTGTATTTCATCAGTCTGCCTGTTCTGTTGCCCGCTCTGTCTCTGGTGAATCCTCTCATCCAACCGCGCATCTGGCCTGTACCCCGGTTCTTGTATAAATAATTAAATAAATCTTTAAAAAAAAAAAAAAAAACTACCTTCTCTTTAAAGATTTAATTATTTATATTAATTAATATATTTTTATTAGGGCTTCCCCGGTGGTGCAGCGGTTGAGCGCTGGGTTGCGAAGCTGCCCGGGGCCTCTGTAATGCCGGTTCGATTCCCGGCTGCTCCCCGGGCCACCGGAGGAGGGTCCCACTTGGCGCGCAGACCTCTCCTGCCGCCCGCTGCTCCCCTCAGCAGTGTGCTTCGGTCCTTCTGCCTGCTCTGCTCCCCGCTCTGGCTCTGGTTAATTCTCTCACCCTCCCGCACTTCTGACTGTACCCAGTGCTGGTATAAATAAATAAATAAATCTTTAAAAATACATATATATTTATATTAATTAATATAAATATATTTACTTATTTATATGCTGGGGTGTAGGCCAGAAGTGCAGAGAGTGAGAGGATTCCACCAGAGACAGAGTGGGGAGCAGAACAGGCTGATTCACTGAAATACCCTGCTGAGGGGATCAGGGGCGAGACAGGAGAGGTCTGTTGTGCCATGTGGGTATATCCCTGGATCGGTATCGAACTCCTGCTGCAGTGGTTGCAGGCAGCTTCACAGTGCTGTGTCTTATCCCCATCACCCCCAGGAAGACCCCTAAAACTAACTTTTTTTACATATAATTCTATTTAATAGAAAACTTTGCCAGTAGATTTTACTTGTCTCACATAAATATTTTAGAATATCTGGCCATGCGGTATTTTTTTTCTTAAGGTATGTTAATACTGAAACTAACATTTGTCTTCTTTTCAATTTTGTTTAATTCAGCCTGTATTTATAATACCCATGTCATATACCATGTAGTAGTGTTGTAATATAAATTTGGACAAAGTATAATGATCGCACAAAGTGGTGAGACACAGTTCCTCCTGATTAAACAAGGGGGATCACTTAAAGTTTTATGTAATGTTTTCATTATAACCTGAATTAAAACGATTACCTCAGTATATCTGTTCCAGCTATCTGTGCAATTGGATTTTAAGCAAGTTATGACAAGTTAGGTTTCATGTCCTTGAATCAGTGGTTTATTTCTGATCATAAGTGGTTGCTTATAACTAGGGAATACCATAGTTGACTTGAAATAGCATTGAAGTCAGAAGTATAGTGGGTTTTAAGTTTCAATTCTTTGTCCTTGGACCAATAATCCTATGTTCTTTGGTCTCTGCATGTTTCTGTTATAAAAGGGCAGTGCACTACATACCTTTTTTTTAAAGATTTATTTATTTATGCATGGTACAGGCCAGAGTTGTGGGGGGTGAGAGGATTCACCAGAGACAGAGCGGGGAGTAGGACAGGCAGACTGACTGAAATGCACTGCTGAGGGGAGCAGTCGGCAAGTCAGGAGAGGTCTGCTGCACCATGTGGGTTGCTGCCTGGCCAATTGAGGGCATCGAACTCCTGCTGCGGAGGCTGTGGAGGCTCTGGACAGCATTATAAGCTGTGTCTCAACCCCTGAGCCACCAGGGAGGCTCAGTCAACTACATACCTTGATTTTTTTTTTTTTTTTTACTCAGAGTTCATACATACTATGAATCTCTAAAACTTCTATTTTTATGAAGAAATATGAAATTAAGAAAAAATGGAGGCTTTACATCAAAGGAGCTTTCAATGTTGCTAATTTGAAAGGTATTAATGAAATTACTGAATCTAGAAGCTCATATCACATGAACTACTGTAGTTTTCTATTTCAGAGCTCAAGTCAGAAGAATGCATTTGAATTAGTGGTCTAGTGGTATGTTTATTATAGATTCTGAGTTGTAATGAAATAGATTCATAAGTAATTTCCATATTAATTAAATCAGGGATTCTCAGTGTTGATGGCACATGAGAATAACATCAATTTTTAAAAGTAAAAATGCCTGGACTTCACAGCAGATGCCCTGAATGTCATTTTTGTGGTAGAAGATAATTGAGTAAACCCATATAATTTTATTTTTATCTCCCTAAGTGATTTAGAGGCTGAAAACTATTAAACATAAACAATACAAACAACTGATCTTATTTTTTTAGGAGAGACAGGATAGAATGGAAACAGTACAAGAGCATTGGAATTGACTGTCACCTCCTATAATGCATCAACCGCTTGGTTGGTGGACACAAATGTTAATTCATTTCACCTTCCTTATTTAGAATGTTGTTTGCTTGTTTTCCTTCAGAGGGATTCATCTACCCTTTTTCCTAATTTTATGTTTAACAGATTAATGCACAGCAGTTTAATCCTGGAATAATATTGAGACTAATGCTGTAATCCTTTCAGTCCAGTGATTACCACTAGACCAGAAAATCTACTTTATACATAAAAATGGCCATGATCAAAAGGAAAAAAATCTATTCAATAATTAATAAATGATTAGAAAAAATACAAATACAGTTCTTGTTATGATCAGGTGGCATATATATTATGTAATTAAATATCAATTACTTTTCTTAGGCTTCAGTTGGCTATTATAACTCTTTAATATTTGTACTTTAAGTAATTCCCCAGACTCTCTGGGTCAGTTGAAGCAAAATAGTTAAGAAAACATTACAACAAACCAAAACTCCTATATCCAAGCTTAACAGGATTTAAACATCAAAGGAGGATATAAGCACTTGATGAAAGATATGCATTTATAGATTGATAAAGGAGGTCTGAGGTTTACTGAAATAGATTTTTTCAAGTATATTTTCCTAGCTTTTCCTGCATAAATATTAACTCGTGATAATTACTGACATTAGTGACACCAGAAGTTACACAGTGAGCATTTCTCAACGAGCTCCGAAGGCTCCATTTAGAAGCTATGTCAACTTACTAGGAACAGGTAACAGGGGAAAGTTATTCCCCTGTCAAAACTGCAGAGTGCAAGGCACAGATGGAAGATTATTCCTATCTCATTCAATATTGTACTGAGTTCCTTAATGCATTGCTAGACAAAATTGCTGTATTAGACATGTCTAGTATACAGGCAGAGAAACATTCCCTCCAATATGATTTTAATATGGTAAATAATTAAAAACATATCCCTCAGGTTATTTTTTGTCTCTTAGCCAGTGTGAAAAATTCAGGTAAAACTGAAATTAAATATCAAAATAATTCTCCTTTATTTTATACAACACCTCTGATGTTTTCATGTTTAGACAAGAAAGTTTTTTTCTTCTGTAGTCTATTGAAAAGAGAGACAGAATGGGTCAGATCATTTAGCTAAAGACATCATAGCAGTCATGTTCTTGGAAATAGTATAGCGTAGTCATGCAGCCAGATTACCTGAGAACAAGCATTGTATCTGCTACTTTCTAGCTCTGTGATCTTGTGCAAGTTACCTAATGATTTTGTAATTTAATGTTTCAATTAATCTTTAAAATAAGGAAGATGAAACAAGGCTACCCTTGAATAGGTCTACCCATAAGCTGAATGCTCAATGAATATTAGGTTATTTTCATTATTTACCTAATTGTGCCTCAGAATCCTCATATATTTTAACAATGAAGATTTGATATATTATTTCACAAGCTTTCGTGGTGATAATAATCACCACTGACACTGAATAAATGATTCATCCCAGAATCCTTCCTTAAAGATTCTGATTGATGGGTCAGGAATAGGGTGAATAATTTGTAGTTTTATTGTGTGTAGTAAATGAATTTTATTGTAAAGAAAATTTCAGAACCACTAGCCTAAGTTACTTATTATCACTAGCCTAAGTTATTTATTATTTAGTCATCTAAATATTCAATTGCCTATTCATTTATCTTTTACCAGGCACTATTCTAGGTGCTGGGAGATACAGTTATGGACTAAGTATTCTATATTTATTAGATCATAGGAAATTAGAACTAGACAAGTAAGCACACAGATGTCTATATAACTATAATTATGAAATATGTTGTGGAGAAAATGCATAAAGTTTGTTGAGAGCTCTTAACAGGGAATATTTTCTATGTTTGCAGAGAGAAATGGGGAAGGATATTTAAGAATACCTATCTGAAGAGGCTACTGCTAAGGTTCCTTTTTGCTCTGATATTGTATGTTCATCTTACCTGCCAGGACGAGAAGATGGATGCTGGGCTAAGTAGGTTAGGGTTCGCCTGGTTGCGACCTCCCATGTACTCATCTGTACAAACATCACAGTTTTCTGCATCTCGCCAATCCCAGTATGGAATAGTGAAATTCTCATCCCCTGTCAAATTCTGGATTTCTTGTTCCCACAGCAATAAGAAGAGTCTATGCCAAGGCAGGAAACCTGGTGCTTCATGAGCAAAGTCAATGTCTTTCCAGATTTCAGATCCCCCCAGCAGGGTATCCCTTGACACATAATAATGCATCCAGACAAAGAGGTCATAAATATTGATGTCACTAAACATAGGTGTTGATCCATTATTCATTTGTCCATATGTGCCTGTGGGAATGACATAGTCTGGGCTGGTAGTATGCTTGGCTAAAGTGAGATAAGCAAGAAATTTGTCCTTTTCTGGGACACTCAAATCAAAGATGTTTCTTCGCACCAACAGTCGCCTCTCTGTGCAGTTTGATCCCCAAAAGCCGAACTTGCAGTTTCCACAGTTGAATCCCATGAAGTTGCCAAAACACTGGCAGGTCCTATTATAGAAGACAGAGGGCCAAGCTTCCCGGTCATCCACCCCTGTGAAGGGGAATTGTGGCCCAAGGGGTGCATTGGACAGAACAACATCCTGACAGGAACCCCTGCCTGAGAGCTGGCCGCACGGACTGCCATCGCCCCTCCACAACGGGCAGCATTCCTTCTCCATCAGGTTCTTGGAGGAGGCACAGGCACGAGGGAAATGGCCTGTGCAGGGCCGAAAGCTCCACAGCAGAAGGTGTAGAACCGCCAGCAGCATTCTTCTGCTAGTGCTCCGTGATCTGTTGGAGCTGGTTAAGTGACTCACGCAATTTTCTTTCCAGCTACCCCTACAGTGACTATCACATGTTTTGGCTCAGACCTATATAATACCACTCCCACCTCCAGATTCAAACACTCTTTATCTTAAGCTTTCATCCTCTGAAAAGCACATGACTCTCTTTTGGCTGAACTTGGCATGCATCCCACAGTGGACTGGTCCTATGTTAAAGTGAGGAACACTATTTAACATTTATAGTGTGATCATTACAGTTAGAATAATTATATTAAAAAATAACCAGTTTGCTTCCCCTCAGACAAGAATTCCAATCGCAGTCTTATGGATAGTGCAAATGAAACTTTTGTCTATATCTGTGATAGATTCCAAATTAGACTGATATTCTACCAAGTCCTTTTGTCATTTCTAACAATATAGATGGAACTGGAGGGGGTTATGCCAAGGGAAATAATTCTGAAGGAGAAAGACAAATCTGCATGGAGTCATTTGCATGGGGATGTAGAGAAACCAAACAAAAGGCCGGGTAAGCCAAGCTAATAACAAATCCTAGAAATTTGACTATAGAACTGGGGCTATAAGAGGGGAAGGAGCAGTGAGTGGGGCAAGAAGAAATTGGGAACAGAGCAAAATGTGTGGAGGTGGCTGACAGTGGGTGCTTTGGTGGTGGGTTTGTGTGGTAACGGAGCATGATTGGGGAGATTCTGTACTGTAAAACAATCAGCATTGTAAACCACTGATACCTTAATAAAAATAGTATGAAAATATTAAAAATGATAATGCCATAACTAAATTATCTCAGTTAGTTGGCTATAAAATGAATGGTGATTTGAAGTTGAAAATGGAAAAAATAGTGTCAAGAATCTCTATTCTTTTTTTACAGTATTTTTTTTTTTCTTTTTAAGATTTATTTATTTATTTATACAAGAACTGGGGTACAGGCCAGATGTGCTGGAGGGTGAGAGGATTCACCAAAGCCAGAGCAGGGAGCAGAACAGGCAAACCAACAAAATACACTGCTGAGGGGAGCAGGGGGCGGCAGGAGAGGTCTGCATGCCATGTAGGGCCCTCGCCAGGGGTCGGGGATCGAACCAGTGCTGCAGAGGCTGCGGGCATCTTCGCATCCCAGTGCTCAACCGCTGCACCACCAGGGGAGGCCCAAGAAAACAAAATCAGGAGCTGTGTTTCATCAATGGGCTTGGAACATTGATTCAGGTAGACCCTTCCCCACTACAGGAAATTAAACTTGGAGTCTTAAAAAAAAGAAGTCATTTAAAATAAGGTGAGTTGAATAATGAGAAGATAAGAATAATCAAATCAAATCAAGTTTTCCTTTGGGATTCTCCCTTCCTTTTCCTCCCTATACTATAATCTGGATGATCCTTTCAAATTAAAGAACAGGTGGGAGAAAATGAAAGCTCTGATGGAAGCAGCAGCAGTTTGGTGCTTAGCAGTGGCTTCTGGGAAGCTCGTCTTTATCCTGGTGAGGTTGCAGTGTTAGTCTCTCCACTCTCTTCCCTTTCTGGAGTTGATTTTCTCATTTAGAAAAACATCAAGGTTTTTCCGTACATTCCCTTGAGACTCAAAGCAACCTTTTAAAGACAGAATGAACAGAATTGGATGAGGAGGAAGAGAAGTTTCTATGGAAATTTTGCCCCCGGCTGAGTTCAGAAAGTCATCACATGATCTTCACAAGGAGGCTTAATCTTTTTTCTTCCTCCTTTTTTTTCAGGACCACAAAGAGATTAGCATAAGGCTTCTCTTCCCTGGGAAGTCTTAATTCTGTACTACTTGTAGCCACAAAGGACTTTTATAATTACGTTCCCTCTATTGCAGACAGAATTCATCTTTTCATGTTCAATTTTTAATTAAGAATTTTGCTTCACACTTGGCCCCACCCCCTTCATGAGGCTTCCCATTGAGTAACTTGAAAGCCTGGATCACACCACTGGGTCTCCGTGTCTATGCTCCCAAGTCTCTTTTTCACAATCTTCTGCAAATCCTTGGAGGAAAACCTAAAAAGATTTTCTCTAAATTTCCTTCACAAGTTTGATTTCCTTAGCTTTATAGATCTCATTACCCCCAAACATAGGGCACTATCACCTTTTATCCTTATGTATAACAGTCTTATTGTGAGTACAAACTTCATAAATATCAAACCCCATTTAGTCTGGTTATTCCCTGAACTCTAGATGTCCATTCTCTAGGTGTCTCTAGTTTATAAAATTGATTAATAACTTCTTAAATTGTTATAAAAATCAAAAAGTTATTAGGAAAGATGACAGAGTGACTATGTATAGTATGACTCATATCCAAGGTAAGTTTTCTGGGAGAAGCTACATTTTCAAGTGACATCTGCAAGAAGTGTTTTTAGTGAAGAGAGGAATAGTTGGAGAGAAAGCATTATAGGTAAAGGGTATGTCATATGAAGATACTCCAGAAAGAAGCAGTTTGACAAGTTTAAGGATTCTAGACAAGTTCAAAGATAAAGACAGTTAAGTAAGTATAGCCTTCCGAAGCTATAGAGATGCAGTATGAGTATACATGGACCCCATTCTTGAAGGGTTTGGTGAGGGGTTATGATGTGATCACAAGAAAATTGAAAACCTTTAGCTCAAACTGCTGAGACAATAATAGGTTTTGCAGCAGCAGGAGAGTAAACATAGGAATAACAATTAGGGTATTATTGCCATAATCCAGGCGAAGTTTTGGGTCAGTTAGAGAAGAATGATGATCCGTAAAATGGATAGAATTGAATGGATTTAAAAATATATGTGGGTAAGGGCCTCCCTGGTGGCACAGGGGTTAAAGACAGCATTATCAAGCTATCACCAGCCACTGTGAAAGGGAACTGCTAAGCAAATGAAATCTTTCCTTTCTTGCTAAAGAGTCCTAGGCCTGGTGCAGTAAATAATGCAAAGTAAGTGTAAATGACAAGGTTGCTTCCTTAATAAGCATATCTAAAGTAGGTGACATTCTAACACATGGGACCACTGGCCAGGCTGATTGATCTCCCAGGCCACCCTTGGATATCTGCATTTCCCCCCCTTTTGTCAAGAACTTTTGTGCTCACTGACCAATGTTATCAATGTAAGATGGTTGTGTATAAAAGAGAGGAAGGACTAGGGTCAAAATAAAAGGGGGGTGCAATTGTATTGGGAATAAAACCAAAATGAAAATGCATACATTGTGCAAACATGAAAAATGATGTAAGAATTATATAAAACAAATTATTAATTTAAAAAAAAAAGAGAGAGACCCTTTATCTCTAGACCAGGGCTCAGACCTTATAGGGCTACCCAGGTCTGGGACCTCCTGCATGAATAATAAAGCTTCTCCTGACCTCACCATTCTGAAGTATTGCTTGTTCTTCCCTTGCCTGGGTAAAAGGCTAAAATTTATTTCTGTAACAACTGCAGCAGGAGTTCTGAAAGGAAAATGCTAAGAAAAGGAAAATCTTTCCCTGTTAAAGAGTCATAGACCTGGATATATAAATAACAAGTTTGCTTCTTTAATAAGCAGATCTAAACAAGGTCTGGCAGCCTGCTAGGCTGATTGATCTCCCAGGCCATCCTCAAAGATCTGTATCCTTCCCCTTCTCTTGTGTCAAGAATTTGTAGGCTAACTAACCAACTTTATCAAGTAAAGTGGTTATGTATACAAGAAATTCTTTGTCTCTAGACCAGGGCTCAGACCTTATGGGACTACCTGAAAGGTCCATGCAGGAGGCCAGAATGCAGGAGCCAAAAAGGAAGCCCACCTGGGGGGCAGGAATGCGGATACCTGCCTGGAGGATTCAGACAATGAGCCTCCCCCCTCCCCCCACGAGTCTCTTCTCAAACAAAGAACCTCTACCTGCCCTACAAACTTTTCCCGCCATAGGAGCCCAACTACCCTCCTGACCTCTCCTCACCCTATAAAACCCTGCTTCCCCCTAACAACGTGCGCGGCTTCACTGACCCCCACCTTGGGTGCGTGAGGTCCGCCGGGGCGCAATAAACTTTCCCTCCCTTTGAGAAATGTAGCCTGGCTCTCCTTTTCTTTACTGTGCCAAACTTTCACTACCCAGGTCTGAGACCTCATGCATGAGTAATAAAGCTTCCTGACCTCACCATTCCTAAAGTACCACTTGTTCTTCCCCTGCCTTGGTAAAAGGCTAGAATTTATTTCTGCAACAGTTCCATCCCCAGCCAGGCAGGGAGCAACCCACATGGCTCAGCAGACTTTCCTGCCTGCCTTCTGCTCCCCTCAGCAGTGTATTTCAGTCAGTCTGCCTATTCTGCTCCCCACTGTCTCTGGTGAATCTTCTCACCATCCCAGTCCCTGCACCTCTGGCTTACACCCCAGTTCTTGTATGCATAAATAAATCAAGAGGATTGGGAAGTAAAAAAAAAAGAGAGAGAAAGAGATATAGGGTTGCCTCCTGGGTTTCTGATTTATGCCATTAAGTAAAGCAAGGGATAGCAGAAGGTAAAACATAAGAGAATTAAATATGGGTTTAGTGCTAGATATCTTGAATTTAAGAACTTAAGTTATAGACTAGCCACACACTTTGGTTCTCTATATGACAGTATACTTACTATAATTTATTAAGTATAAAAAACATAATTAGGCCTCCCTGGTGACACAAGGGGTATAAATGAAACTATGAGGCAATCCGCAGCCTCTGCACCAGGAGTTCGATCCCCGGCCAGTCAGGCAGCTACCCACATGGCGCAGCAGACCTCTCCTGTCTGCCCACTACTCCCCTTGTTATAGGACAGCCCCGATATTGAACGGGTTCGACCGGGGGTGGAGTCCACAAAGCCAGTATGGAATTAGCTTTAGGACATCCTTTTTCCCCTAACACTGTCAGCAGTGTATTTCAGTCAGTCACGTGTTCTGCTCCCTGCTTGCTCTCTCGCTCTCTCCAGTGAATCCTCTCACACCCCCGTCCATATCTCTAACCTATTTCCCAGTTCTTTTATGAATGAATAAATGAAAATAGATATTTAAAAAAACTAAATCAAAACACAATAACATTATAACTCAAATAGGAAGAGAGAACAGCATTTTCTTAAATAGCATCTGTATTCCATTTAATTATCTTTAGAGTGTTTTTTTTTCCCCCAAGAGCTAAACAAGGTCTATAAATTGCTTTTCGTTGAGAGATTTTTTTAATTGTATTTTTATATTTATTTTCTTCTTTAAAATGTAAGTAACATTGTTTAGTTTTAGAAGTATAGCATGTTACCTTCTAGCGTTATCATAGGACACCCACCACCAAAGC